GGCTTGTGGCTGGCCAGCAAGAACTATGGGAAATGATTAAATGTCTTCCAAAAGTGACAAATACGGAGAGACAGGACCCATCCTTGAATAAGCTTTAAAATTAGATACACTTTTCTGGAACAAGCAATTGGACAGGGTGGTTCTGAATACAGCTTTGTTTTTGCAAGAAGTCTTTGGTAACGCTCAGAAGCAAGGCCTCTGAGGATGGCTGCTTTCCAAGGGACACGCAAGACAACAGGTCCACCCCAGGCCAGGTGGGGCCTAGAAGTCCACTGGGCAGCCTTCAACCCGCACATCTTAATCAGGGCACTGCCACAACTCCCTGTGATTCCCAACAACCTCCATAAAATAAAGCTGGCCAGTTCCATTTTGTAGGTAATAAAAGCAAGGCACAGGCTGGCGCCGTGGCTCAATAGGCTAAATCCTCCGCCTTGCGGCGCCAGCATACCGGGTTCCAGTTCCGGTCGGGGCACCTGATTCTGTCCCGGTTGCCCCTCTTCCAGTCCAGCTCTCTGCTGTGGCCCGGGAGTGCAGAGGAGGATGGCCCAAGTACTTGGGCCCTGCACCCACATGAGAGACCAGAAGCACCTGGCTCCTGGCTTCGGATCAGCACAGTGCGCCGGCCACAGTGCACCAGCTGCAGCAGCCACTGGAGGGTGAACCAACGGTAAAGGAAGACCTTTCTCTCTCTGTCTCTCTCACTGTCCACTCTGCCTGTCAAAAATAAATAAATAAAATTAAAAAAATAAATAAATAAAAAAAACAAGGCCCAGAGAGGTGAGCGACTTGCCTGAGGCCACACAGCCCAGCCCATCAACCACAGAAAATGCAACTGGATCCCTGCCCTGTCATCAGGCAACACTCCTTTCAGGAGAATTCCAAGTTCCCAACTCAAAGTGCGTTTCTCTTACTTTTTGCAGAAAAGCAAACACCATGTAGCCCTGACTTAAACGCTAGCTGAAGCCTACACTCCTAGATTACAGAGGTCACCCGAGGTCAAGTGTGTTTACTACAGGCAGCTGCAGCAGAGGCGTGACAAGCTGGCCAGCAGCCAGGATGCTCCGGCTCCAGGCGTTTCTCTGGCGCCCTGAAGACACCCTTCTCGCCAGGGCTGCAGCCACCACCCGCGTTCAGCTCCTGTCCGCAGCACAGCGCCTCACTGCATGCTGGCTCTCCGAGGCCGGCCCGGGCCCAGCCTTTCCACAATGACAGCAGGACACGGTCTGCCCTCTTTCATTCGCTCCTGAGTGCTCGCCCACGTCTTCCAGCAGCTCCACGCTGAGTGGCACGGCACCACTCTATAAAGCAGAAGGAAACAACAGTCCAGCCGATGACGGCCGCACTACAGATCTGCAACCACAAAATGATGCCGCTCTACCAGCTGGACTCGGTTTGCAAAATAGTAACTTTCCATACAATATATTTAACACTCAATTGTTTCACTGTTATTTATTCATTCATTTGAAGGGAACATTTAAAAGATCCTCAGTATGAACTTAATACTACAAACGTCCACAGCTATAACCCCAAACCCAAACCCCTGGAGTCCTCAGTTTCAAGAGCGAGGAGCGTTTTGCAGATCAAAACTTCTGTGAATCACCGTCTGTGCGTTCTCTCAGATTCCTCTTCCCACCCCTCTCTCAAGGCCACTCTAGGGGCCAGCACTGTGCTGCACTGGGTTAATGCCCTGGCCTGAAGCTCCGGCATCCCATATGGGTGCCGGTTCGAGACCCGGCTCCTCCACTTCCAATCCAGCTCTCTGCTATGGCCTGCGAAAGCAGCAGCAGATGGCCCAAGCCCTTGAGCCCCTGCACCCACGTGGGAGACCCAGAAGAAGCGCCTGGCTCTGGATCAGCACAGCTCTGGCCATTGGGCCAACTGGGGAGTGAACCAGCGGATGGAAGACCTCTCTCTCTCTCTCTCTGCGTAACTCTGACTTGCAAATAAATAAATCTTAAAAAAAAAAAAAAAAGGCCACTCTACTTAGGGGTTCCCCAGTTAATTGCCAAAACCACACAGGACCACAAATGGCTGCCTACTGCTAAGTCCTCTGCGCAGGTCTTAGCTCACTCAAGCTCCAGGCGGCATATGCCACGGCCAATCACCTCCTCCTCAAGTCCTTGCCTCTCTTGCTAGCTCTTTCCTTTCTCCACAGCTCCAAGGCCAGACGGCCCAGGAGCTCAGTTCTCTGCTCTCTGGTCTGCACTCTACAGCTCCTTGGCAGTCCCTAGTTTCTATCTGTAGGCTGGCCCCTTCCCTTGAACCCCACTCTCATTCACCTGTCTACTTTACATCCGCGTTTAGATTCTATGTAGGTGTGACAAACTTGCAGATGAAAAAGCCTATCTTCCTACAACCCAGCCTACTCTCCCAGTATCTTCCCAGCATTATTTGGTGACAACTGTATCCTTCTCATCAGGCCAAACCCTTGGAGTCGCTGTTAATTCCCCTTTTCCCATAATTCACGCTCAATCCAGCAGGAAACCCTGTTGGATCTGAGTTCCAAGTTTACCAAATCCCTTCACCACCTCACCTCTGCACTGCTTGGAGCCGCCAACATCTCTCACCTGGATTGTCAAGGCCATGTCCCATCTCAGCCCTCACCTGCTGCCTTACGTTCTTTTTAGCGCAGGGGACGGAGACCAGATTATGCCACGACTGTAAGCACCAGTGGATTTCCACCTCTCCCCAAAATAAAAGCCGGACTTGACTCCTGGTCACCTCCCTACCCTCTTTTCTTGTCTGCTCCACCTCTCTTGCCTTTACCCTGGCTGTGATCTGTTTGGGACACTCTTCCCTAAGAAATCCAAGACTCACTACCTCAACTCCTTATTTTTCTTCCAAGATCCCACCCTGAACCCTTCCATTTAAAAGCACAACCCTCACCGCCCAGCACTTAGCACTTCCTAATAAACTGCCTATGCCTACTATCTGCCTGACTTCCCAATTGAATGGAAGCCCTACAAATGCAAAGAATGCTGTCAGTCTTGTTCACTGAAATACCACCTGTGCCTACAATGGTACCTGGCAAAAGTGTGGGAAAAAATGCACTAAATGAATAGATGGATCAAGCCTCTCATTCTACCTGGCCAGATACAGGTCACCCACACCACCGACTTGAAGCTTTTGGCACCACAAGGTTTGGCTCTGGGCACACAGACTCGGGCCCAGGATCACAACTCTAAATGCCCACCCAGAACTGGGAAGGACAGGCTACAGTCAAATTGGCACCACTGGTACTTAAACTCGTAATCTATCAGAGCCACACAATTCAGTTGAGACGCTTACCTGTAGCTACATTCCTAGTTCCTAATCTTTTCTCCTGTTTAAGGCTACCTGTTGTCCTAGATGAAGGAATCACCCCTGTTGAGAAAGAACTTCACCCTGCAAAGCAGCACAAATCCCAAGTGCTGTGCCCAAAGAGAAGCCCTGATCTCAACAAGTTGCGACAACTCCATAATCCTAACCCAAACCCAGGTGCCTCTTCCCATGACAACCTTCTTGCTGCACCAGAGTAAACCTGAATTCTAGATTCTTTCAAAAGCAGAAAAGGAGATGGAAATGGGACGTGACAGCACGAAACGTAATTAAAATGCCGTCTAGCCTAGTCTTGTGGCTTGTAACATACCGCTACTCCAAACCTAGCTGTGGGGAATGTTGTTCTCTCACTCAGTGGGTAGCTGGACAAATTGGCCTGACACCTGGAAGGTACTCAATAAATGTCTGTGGAATGGAGAATTCAAGCTAGTGACTCACTCCAGAAATACGCACTCTGAGAGCACCACAGACATAACCAGGCTCAACTTGGTGTGAGCCAACTGCACCAATTAACGAGGCTGAGGAAGAGAAAGGAGAGCCTCGCAGTGACCCAGGTGACGCAAGGCCCTGTGCTGAGATGCCCGAGGCCTCTCCCTTTGTGGTCACTGGGGTCAGCACTGTCTCCCACTATCTGGGAGTCTCATTTCCAGTTTGGCAAGTTGATGTTAAGGAAAAGGCAGCGCAGAGTAAGACAAACCTGTCCTTAACTCAGCAGGGCTTGAGCCTTGCAGGGCTGTGAAGGTGAACCATGTGGAAACACCTGCCCCGTGCCGGGAGCCATCTTACTTCCCTTGCCCATACTAGGACCCTGCTCTGGTCCGCAGAATGACTGCTGCTGCTCTTGGTACACGCTTTCGTCTGTCCAGTGCGCCAGGCTCCTGCCGGCTCCTGGCCCCACACAGAGGTGGGTCCTTCTACCTAACACACCTCTGCCCTAATCCCGGCTCTTGCCTCTGGACACTACCAGCCCTTCTCCCCACCCTTTTAAGGAATGTTAAGGCCAAGTTCACACAACACTTCACTTTAAAACAACTGTAACTGATGTCTCTCCCCAGCTCAGCTGCAGAACTCATGGGGATGGGGAATGTTTCTGATTGGGTTGATCACGTAACCCACAAGCCTAGACAAATGAAAAGTCCGCCACACATCTAGTAAGCAGAGGCTTCCACATGAGTATCCACTGTAGTATGTACAATGGAGAAACAGCCTGCTACCTGAACTAGAATGGTTCAAGTAGGGTACCCAAAATGGGATGTCACACTCAGGAAACTGAAATCCACGCTCAAGTGTGATGGGAGAAGGCTCCAAAGAGTGCAAAGTACAGGGAGCAACGTTCCATATAACTACAAGGCTTAAACTCTGCGGAACTGGATCTGATGACAGGGACAGGATCAGGGACGGTATTTACCCACTGAAAATAGCATTTTCTACAGCGAGCAATGATTACTTGATGGTGGGAACAAGAGCTTCTTAAGAACCTTAAGGGACAGCTCCAACGCAACCTGCTCTCAGACTTCTCTAGACTTTACGGCTTATATTCAAATAACCCCACTCTCTCCTGGTCAAGACTTGGGGAGATGGTGGAGAACAAGCACTCGGATCTCTTGCACCCCCCTCCCCGCCCTGCCCAACTCCAGCGTAAAAGCGTTCGTGTTCAAGCACCGAACAAGGAGAGTACTCACCTAGTTTAAAACACCCAAGATGCTCAGCCCTGAATTTTAAGCAGCACATGTGACCTGGTCCATTCTGGTTTCAAGTTCAAAGGCATCAGGCCGGTCCTGTGGGTTAGCAGCTAACATGTCTTTCAAGAGCTGCTTGATCCCCTCAGACATGGAAGTCCTACGTTTCTGGGGGATGTGCAACTCCATCTTTGGGTTTTCTAGCAGCGCCTCGCCAACAGGGACGATCTCAGTGCCCTGTTTGATGTAGGTCCCCAGGAGCTCCTTCTTGGTCTCAGAGTCAATAAAAGTGATTCTCTCTATCATTGCCCAGATGATAATGCCCAGGGCAAAGATGTCCGCCTTGGCCGTGTAGTGCCCCTCCCAGACTTCGGGAGCCATGTAGAAGTCCGAGCCGCAGGCAGAGGACAGCCAGTACTTGTTCACATTCACATTTTTGTTGTCTGGATTGCCCTCTCTGCCACGGGGTGCCAGCCCGGCACAGACCTTGCTCAGTCCAAAGTCTGCCACCTTGAGGATGGGGGTGCCCGACCGCTCGGTGATGAGAATGTTGTCCGGCTTTAGGTCCCTGTGCACGATGTGGTTTTTGTGCAGGAAGGCAATGGCACTGGTGAGCTGTAGCATGAAGCTTTTGTTGGTGGCGGGGTCCGGCCTCCGAGACAGGACATACTGATTCAGGTCTCCACCTTCACAGAACTCCATGACAAACCAGAGATAGCACGGCTCCTCCGCGTAGCCCAGGATCCTTTCTCCTGGATCAAAGACAGGAAGGAGCGCGAGTGAGACGGACACACAGGCACAGCACTATTAGAATAAAAGAACGCAGCGTTTTAAAGTTCAGAGTGACAGAGGTGATGAACAGAACAACTGCTCCAAGAACACCTGCATAGCCGGTACCACACCTGTGCCTTTCACACACAGGCCTGTTTCTACCCACAGCAGACAAGGTCAATACACAGGCATGAGGCTCCGATCAAGCACTGGAGTTTGGAATCAAGTTGAGGTAGGAACTCAGTGCTCTGCTGGTTGGTGGACTAAGAAGCTATGTTTTCCTTGTGCGGTCTTCAAGCAAGCAGCTCCCGCCCATCCCTCCCAGGGCTACTGGCCATGACACAGGTAAGGCAAGAGAGACAGCCATTAGATGTCCACGGCTTCTGTCACTGTTACTCCGTGCCAGGCAAATGACCTTCCCTCTCCTCTCTGTTGACCTGTAGAAGGATTCTCTTGAACACATCTGGACTAGCACTACCACTCTGCTTACTTCTGAATCACCCTCCAATCCATCAGTGGACTCTGCTAGCCCACCAGACGCCTAGCATGGGCTGGACACATAAAGAGCCCCATCTACAGGAAGCTGAGTGACAAGGACCTAAACAGCGGGCCACACCTGCATCAAGGTCAACTTCTAGGAACAGTGAAGGGTGGGCAGGAGTCCCCAGGTCTGAGGACGTCATCGGCTGCAGGACAGGCAGCAGTGTAGCAGGAGGCAAGAAGGGAATTCTAGACCAAGAGATGAAATGGACAACAGAACACGGGGACAAAGGAACGGAAAGGAAGTCCGCTGGGAACAGTGGCATCTGAATTAAGTTGTGTGGTCTTGAAACTCCAGGAAAGCTGGTGACTAATTCCTCTACGTAAATCTCAACTGACAGTACACTGAGCCCTTACGATACGGACTGACCCCCAGGCTAAGGCTAAGCAGGCAGATGAGGAAGCTGGACTGCAAGGGAAGGGACCTGCCCTGCGTGGTCACTGGGCATCTGGACCTCAGCCAGGACCTGAGTCCTCCAGGCCCCCGCATGCTGTACCCATTGTAGCAAAAACAAGGGCTGCACCTTCTCAGGAAGACTCTGCCAGAAGGTTCCTCCCACTAGACTTTTATTCGACTTTATTACAAAGAGAACCAGGTACACGACTAACCCAGTAGCCCCGGAGCTCTAGGCTGAGACCAGAGATGACCTGACATGCAAGACAAAAGCTTTAGGTTTGTGACCACAATCTGACAGGCCTCACTTCCCTTGTCATTATATAATTTTCTTGTTTCTATTACTCTCAATCAGAGTAATACAGGTAGAACCAGTTTAGGGCAGATGGGTTTCTTTTTTTAAAAAATCAGTTGCTTCCTCTCTCATAATCCTCTTTCTAGGTCATTGGCTGAGTGGGTCGAGGTGCTGGATCTAAAAACACCAGAAAATGAAGCAGCAATTTGAAACACAGATCAGCGTCAGTTGAAGAGCAAAGATCTGTTAAGGGGGAAGCAAGAAACGTCTCCTGGTGGCAAAGCCAGAAAGGAGTTTAAAAGCCATCAAATTCCTGCTGAAGGGCCTGGTCAGAAAACACTGAAACTTCGGGTGGGGGAATAAAGGGTGGGGAACGACATTATTTTATATACAAAGTTGGTAACCATGGTAACTGAAGTAGAAAGAAAACAAGTCTGCAAAACAGACTGAAGCATAGGGCTAGATTATGAGAATCCAAGGGAAGACAAAAAGGCGTGCACACATACACACACTCACAAGTGCCCTGCATTAGTGAGTGGGTGGGGGAGACGGGCCCCTGGAAGGAGACGCCTGCTCTGAGTAAGTCAGCTAAGCTCAGGAGATGCTAAAGGCCGGGTGATTAAGACGCCACCTGGGACGCCTGCATCCCCTGTTGGAGGGGCTGGGTTCAAGTCGCTGCTTCACTTCAGACACCATGTGACGGCTCAATCACTCGGGTTTCTGCCACCCACGTGGGAGACCCAGATTGAGGTTCTGGCTTCCAGCTTCAGTGCTGGGGGATTGAACCGGCAGATGGAAGATATCTGTGTATCTCTCTGCCTAAAAAAAATAAATTTTTTTTTGAAAAGTGAAAAGGCGGGGCCACGTGCTGAGAGGGAAACTCTGGATAGGAGGCAGCACCATCAGACTCCATCAGTGAGCATGGCAGGAGGCAACACAGGCCGGTGCTGCTGCTTGTCCCGGAGACAAACGACTCTGCATGGAGTCTGGGTTTCAACCCCGACTCTGCCCGCTGCAGGGTGGATTCTTAGTGCAAGGAAAACGGGGAAACTGAGGAAGGGTGGAAAGGCAGTCAGAACCTCGGCAGTCCCTGAACCTCTCTGACCTCCATCCTCTCACGGATCAAACAAGACTGACACCTCCCCCACACGACCGCTGAGAGCAAGGGACGGTGCACAGTGTAAGACACTGGGACTTTAGGGATCACCAAAATCAACCTTCCCACTTGACCTTGACAGAGTCCTTGGGAGTCACCAATCTCCACGATCCTGGTGCTGCTGCCCAGAAGATCAAGATGACAATGGGAATTCCATCTAAGTTGTCCCTGTCAGGTTGTCCAAGCTGATACTTTCCAGCTGGGCCGGGCCGCTCCTTTTTTCATTTTTTTTTTTTTTTTTAAAGATTGATTGATTTACTTGAAAGGCAGAGTTACAGAGAGGCAGAGGCAGAGGCAGAGAGGAGAGAGAGCTCTTCCATCCACTGGTTCACTCTCCAGATGGCCACAACGACCAGAGCTGGGCCAATCCAAAGCCAGGAGCCAGGAGCTTCCTCCAGGTCCCCCACACAGGTATAGAGGCCCAAGGACTTGGGCCATCTTCTACTGCTTTTCCCAGGCCATAGCAGAGAGCTGGATCAGAAGCGGAACAGCTGGGACTCAAACCAGTGCCTATATGGGATGCCGGCACTGTGGGCGGCAGCTTTACCCGCTATGCCACAGTGGAAGGCCCCTAGGCCACTCTTACTTGGGGCGATCCTTCCAAGTAAAAGGCCTCTCCCCTCCCCCAACTTCTGCAGAGGCAACAGGATGTACACCTTCAGGCCAGCTCCAATGCCACTCACCTTACACATGCTGTCGTCCCACGTTCTCCTCTTAAGAACCGCCAAGGCCCTGCTCTTCTACTTTATTTTTTTAAAGATTTATTTATTTGAAAGACAGAGTTACAGAGAGGTAGAGACACAGAGAGGTCTTTTTTAGTTTTTACAAAATCATACCAGATACCCTGATTAGCAGCCCACGTCTTCACTCTTCCCCTGAACGTGAGAACATGGCCAGTGTTTGGAGGTAGGCGTTAGATTTCGTACTGCACCTCCCAGCTGCCGCGGAGGGACCTGCCGTCAGCCACTTGCCAAGGTGACTACGCACTGGGGAAGTGAAAATGGTCAAGCTGTCTGGGACCACTAAACCTGGTCCCCAAAGGACACTGACCCCTGCAGCCCCGATCATCACTGTGGACCACCCATCGGGGCAGGCGGTCACAGGTAATCGATGGAGTGGCGGCGCAGGCCCTCTCACAGTGGGCTCCGGGAGTCCTCACCCTCTTTGCATTTATTTCCTGTTTCAGGATGCACAGCTAACACATATAAAGTATTGGAAATGACCACATGAAATGCAGTGTTTTGAGTCGATAGAAACACTTCAGATTTGCTTAAGTTCCCAGCTCTCTAGTCTGGTATCACCTGACAGTTGTGTTGGAGTTAAAAATTCAGCTCCCTAAAATAAGTAAATAACTACATCACTGCGTAAACTGACGAAGGAGCTTCCTCGCTGAGAGGGTGGAAGCAGAGAGCAGGTTCAAAGGCAGTAAGGATGTCAGAGAGGAATCTTTGAGAGCCCCTGGGTTCCAGGCACGATTTCAACAGTTCACAACATGAGCTGCTTTGTCTCAGTGGCCACTGTTTCACAGCTGGGGAAACCGAGGCTGAGGACGGTGAGTAACCTCTCCCAGAGTACTGCCATGGCAGCAGGGTAGAAAGCGAGCCACCACAGCCATGTCCTTCCTCGACAACCCCAGTCCACAGAGGGTAAGGACACAAACTTTAGGGGCTGGCACTGTGCTGTAGCAGGCTAAGCCTACGCCTGCAGCACCAGCATCTGTCCCAGCTGCTCCTCTTTCAATCCAGCTCTCCGAATCCTGATGGCCTGAGAAAGCAGAAGATGGACCAAGCGCTAGGGCCCCTGCATCTGTGTAGAAGAAGCTCCTGACTCCTGGCTTTGGAATGGCCCAGCTCTGGCCATTGAGGCCATCTGGGGAGTGAACCACTGTGTAGAAGGCTTCTCTGTCTCTCCCTCTCTCTGTTTATAACTCAGTCTTTCAAGTAAAAAAAGGAGAGGAGAAGAGAAGGGAGGGGAGTGGAGGGGAAAGAGAAAGAGAGAAGAAAGAGAGAAAAAAGAAAGAGAGAAAGAAAAAGGAGGGAGGGAAAAGAAAGAAAATAAACAAACAAACTAATTTTAGGGGCCTGTGTTGGGACCAATGGTCAAGAGTCCCATGTCCCACATCTGTGTGCCTGAGTTCCACACCCAGCTCTGGCTTGAGATTCCAGCTTCCTGCTAACACACACCCTGGCAGGCAGCAGATGATGGCCCGACTGGGTACCTGTCACCCACATGGGAGACCTAAATTGCATTCTCTGTTCCTGGCTTCAGTCCTGGCCCAACCCCTCCCATTACTGATATCTGCAGAGTGAACAAGTAGATGGGAGACCACACTGTCTCTCTCTGCCTCTCAAATAGATTCATGAAAGAGGAAGTGTACTTTAAGATAGGCAGGCCCACCTTGAGGAATTTTAGCACCTTTCCCTCAAGTCTGACAGTCAGCTGATCACAAAATAACTTCTGTATTTCAAAACACATCCCATGCCACAGAGAAAATGCTAGAAACAAACCGGGCTGGCATTGTGGTGTAGTGGGTTAAGCTGCCGCTAGCAGTTCTGGCATCCAATATTGGAGAGCTGGTTCGAGTCCCCGCTGCTCA